CAGCCTGGGCTACATAGTGAGTTCAAAGCCAGCCTGAACTACATAGTGAGACCCTGTCTCAACATCCCTACCCCCCAAAAAAGTCTGGCAGTTCCTAAAAAAGTTAAAACACAGCTACCACATGACAAAGCCATTCTATCCCTAGCTGTACACCCAAGAGAAAATATGCCCACACAAAAACGTGGACACAGACGACCAAGGCAACTTCACTCACAACAGCCTCCAAGTGGAAACAGCCCTGGCTCCAACAGTGATGAAAGGGCAAAGTAAATGCAGGCTATCTAGCCAAGGGAATAGCATTTCACAAGGGAAGTAAACCCAGTGCCGACCCATGCTGTCACACTGATGAACAAGAAAACGTTATCCGGGTGAAAGAAGCCACTCACAAAAGGCCACGTACTGTATAAGTCTGTTTATACGAGACGTCCGTCCAGGATTGGCAAATCTATACAAGACAAAAATAGATGCGTGGTTGCCAGGGGCTGGGGAGGCTGGGAGATGACAGCTGAAGAATGCAGGTTTCTTTGGGACGACGGAAATGTTCTAGGCTTGACTGTGGTGATAGTTACATGAATCTGTAAAAATACTAAAGACCACTGAACTGTGTATTTCACAAGGGTGACTTCATGGTATATGAATTACACTCAAAAGAGCTGTAAACCATGCGCTCCCACCCACTAAAAAAAAATCCAAATAGTAAGTCCCTCTTCTGCTCAGAATTCTCCCATGGCTCCCGCCTTACTTGGAGTAAAAACCAGAATCATACCCATGGCCCCCCTGGTCCTGCACAATGTGGTGGTCCCTTCTACCTCTCCAGTCTCTCCTCAGTGCTCCAGCCACATGGCCTCTGTGACGTTCTGCCAACATGCCAGACACATGCTGGCCTCAGGGCCTTTGCACCAGCTACTCCTTCTGGCTGGCTGTTCTTCCCCAAGAAATCCACAAGCCTCATTCCTCCCATTCCTTCAGCTCTCTTTTTTCTTCCCTTCTTTCTTTCCTTCCTTCTTTTCTTTCTTTCTTCCTTTTTTTGAGACAGGGTCTTGCTATGTAGTTCAGACTAGTCTTGAACTCACTATGTAGCCCAGGCTGGCCTTGAACTTGAGGTGATCCTCCTGCTTTAGCCTCCTGCATACTGGGATTTCAGGCATGTACCAACACACCTGGCCTTTAGCCTTCTTTCAGATGTGACCTTCTCTGGGTCCCAGGTGCAGCTGGTGCACACCTGTGATCTCAGCACTTGGGAGGCAGAGACAGGATGATTACTGCAAGTTTGAGGCCAGCCAGGGATACATAGATCATGTCTCCAAAGAAAAACCATTTTTTTGGGCTGGGCATGGTGGCACACGCCTATGACCCTAGCACTCAGGAGACTGAGGAAGGAGCATTATTGAGTTAAAGGCCAGCCTGCACTACATGCAAGACCCTGTCTCAAAAAAATAAAAACAATTTTTTTTTTTAAAAGTCACTTTCTCAAGTGGTCCATTCCTGATCACTCTTAAACTCCCTAGTGCTCAGTTCACTCATCCCGTTGCTGTTTCCCCCACACTCAACACCTTTTAACAAGCTGTACAATGTATTGTCACCACACCACCCCAGCATCCTTCCTTGTCCCCGGCTCCATGTATCCCTTTACGGACAGTGCACACAGTAAATAAGCTTTGCAAGGCAGCGGTTAAGAACACAGACTTTGGAGATAATGATACCTGACCTTTTTTTTTTTTTGAGACAGGATCTTGCTATGTATATATTTCAGACTGGCCTCAAACTAGCGGCAATCCTCCTGCCTCAGCCTCCCAAGTGCCTCCCAGGTGTATAGGCACGTGCCACCACCTCCAGCTCACTGCCCAACTTAAATTTAAATGCTGAGTTGACCACTTATAAGTTTCAGAAAAGTTACCAAACCCCTCTGTGCCTCAGTTTTTCCATGTGATAGTAATAGCGGCTCCCTCCTTTGGTTAAGAAGAGAAACATGCAAAGTGGTAAGAATGGAGTCTGACAGTAGTCAGCGTCAGCTGCTAGGTTGTGTTTTTTTTTTTTTGCGGTACTGGGGATTGAACCCAGGGCCTCACGCGTAGTAAGCAACCACTCTACCACTGACTAATCCCCCAACTCTTTTTTATATTGAAAACAGAGTCTTTCTTGGTAAGGTGCCCAGGCTGGCCTTGAACTTGCAATCTCCTGCCTCAGCCTCCAGCGTTGCTGGGGTTACAGGCAAGCACCAGGCATTAGCTGTTATTTTTGGTAACAAAATCTTAAAAAGGAAGGTCATCCATATTTACTTCAACCGTTTTGACCACTAGGTGGCCTGTGTAGCCCTGGACCAGTCTCCTTGCTTTACAGCTTCGCCTTTCCCTCCTATGGAGTGGACACCGGGCACACAGCCCCAAGATCCTGATAAGCAATGGCCTCTCCTGGTGAACTAAAAAAAACAAACATGCTCAGGATGGAACCGAAGGCCTTGCACATACTAGGAATGTGCTCTACCACTGAGCTCCGCCCCAACCCAAAAAGTAACTTTTGCCTATTGCTCCTCCGCAGAAAGATGCTCAGCCCTCAGTCCCTGCTAGCGGGGAAGCCCACAGGGCAGGCACTTCCTTTACTTTGTTCCGTGCTGCATTCTCTGAGCTTAGCTGGGTGCTGTCGATACAAGTGACCAAAAAAAGGTCTTGTCCTGTGCTTTCAGAACTCAAACAGACAAGGAGGTGGTTTCTCCCCAAGAGACACACAAAGCAATGAATATCCCTTCTTCTGAAGCCCCCAACCTCTGAACTGTGGCCTCTCTCTAAGCCTCCATGAACCAATTCACAAAATGGGTAAAATCCTTGGGCTTACCCAAAGAAAAATGGGCAAAGCATATGAACAGGCAGTTCACGTAAGAGGAAATACAAGTGCTAGCAAACATACAAAAGTATGAGGGGCCCCAAAGAAATAAGATGACATGCTAATTAGAAAAGTTTTCTCAAAAAAAAGAAGTTTTCTCGGTACCAGGGATATAGCTCAGCGGCACAAGTGCCTGCCTGGCAAGCACAAGGTCCTGAATTCAATTCCTGGTCCAAAAAAAAAAGGACTAGGACAGTTTTCTCACATAAAATTGTCAAAATGAGAATAATCAAAGGCTGGGGATATAGCTCAGTGGCACAGCAGTGCCTACCTGGCAAGTACGAGGCCCTGAGTTTAATTCCTGGTACCAAAAAAAGAAAATGATCAATAACATTTTTTGATGAAGGGATAGGAAAATAGGTACCTCAAAAATTATGGTTAGCTGGGCATGGTGGTACTGTAATCCCAGCACTCAGGAAGCTGAGGCAGGAGGATTCCCAAGAATTTGAGACTAGCCCAGGCTACATAGCAAGACTTTGTCTCAAAAAAAGTGTAGCTCAGTGGTAGACTGTATGGTTAGCAGGTTCGGTCCCTGGGTTCAATGACCAGTGCCTAAGGAAGGAAAGAAAGAAGAGAGGGAAGAAGAAAGGGTGTGGAAGGAAGAGAGAAAAGAAAAAAAAAGAGAAGGAAAAAAGGAAAAGAAACATCAGTTCTTGCAATGTTCATGGAGGCATGGCAGTGTCAATTAAAAAATTTTAAGTGAACATACCGTAACAATACAGGAGTTCTATTCCTAGGATGGAGCTTATAAGATTTGCAGGTTTCTGCACAGAGGCGCAAACCTGAGGACAAGACTCCAACCAGCAATGGTCTGACCATCGGGCCAGATTACGGGGATCCCTGAAACATAATCTCCTGCGCACCTCCAGTAGCAGAGGAAAACTGAACGTCATCCACATTTAGATGAAATGGATACATTTCTAGGTAAACACAAATTAGCCAAAGTGACACCAGAAGGTCTGGGATATAGCTCAGTGGCACAGCACCTCTCTGGCAAGCATGAGGCCTTGAGTTCAATTCCTGGAACCAAAACAAAAACAAACACAAAGACCTTACACTAAAAAAATTAAAAAGCAAAAAAAGTACTATAACTAAGAAATCTGGGCCAAGGATGTAGCTCACTGGCACAAGCGCCTGCCTGGCATGCGCAAGGTCCTGAGTGAGTTTGATTCCTAGTACCCCCTCAAAAAAAATCTGACCCTTAATTTAAATCCTCCCCATAAATCAGGTACAGTGATGCATGCCTACATTCCTAGCTACTCCTGAGGCTGAGGCAGCAGGATCCTGAGTTCAAGGCCA